CACCCGGGAAGGCAGATCCTCCCTGCACCTGGCCCTCCCCCAAGAGCACAGGGAGGCTCTGATCCACAGCTGCAGCTTGGGTGGCTGTAGCCCCGCACAGGAGGGTGGGGCTGCTGCCTGCTCAGTTGAGCAGGAGCCCTGGATCTGCGGTTGCATTGGATGGCAACCGGGGAGCTCCAGTCCCAACTTAGAAGGGGCCCGGCTCCCATTAGCTCCATGGAGGGTTCAGCCCAAGCCGTGCCTCCCTGCCGCAGCCAGCTTGATGGCAGCAGCCACTGCCATCACAAGGATGTACGATGTTGACATTAGAGGAAAATAGGTGAAGGATAAGGAGGAACACTTTATATGATCTTTGCAACTCTTTCGTAAATCTAAAATTATTTCAAAATAAAAAAAATTAAAGGCATCCAGATTGGAAAGGAAAAAATAATCTTTATTCATAGATGATGATTGACTCTGAGTAAAATATATTAAAAATCTACAAAAGAGTTACTAGAACCAATATATAAGTTTAGCAAATTTTCAGGATCAGTATCAATATACCAAAGGTATTTAATCTATACTGATAATGAACAAGTTGGAGTTAAAATTTACAATAGCATTTACAATAGCATCAATATATAAAGTTCATAAGGATACATTTGATAATAGATATGCAAGACCTATACACTGAAAAATACAAAACATTGCTGAAAGTAAACAAACAAGACATAAATAAATGGAATGATAGGCCTTTTTCATGTATTATGAAAAAGTCTTAACATATTAAGACTAATATGTTATCAGTATTACTCAAATTTATCTGAGATTCAATTCTATAGCAAACAAAATTCTACCAGGATTTTTACTAGGAATTGACAATCGGATTCTAATACTTGTATAAAAATTCAAAGAACCTAGATTAGCCAAAAAGAAAAGGAGAGAGATCAAAGTTGGAGAGGTGGCCCCATGTGACCTTAAGACATACTACAAACAGTGTGGTATTGACATAAATTTAGAAAATAGATCAATAAAGCAGAATGCAGAACACAGAAGTAGACTCATACATTCATGGTCTATTGATTTTTGACAAAAGCACAAAGGCAATTCAATGGAAAAAGGATGGGTTCTTCAACAAACGATGCTTGAATAATTTAATATTCATATACAGCAGAAAACCTCAATTCATACCTAAAACCATAAACAAAAACTTAAATACATGATAGACTAAATGTAAAGTAAAAAAACTATAAACTTACGAAAAGAAACACTAAAAAAAAGTCTGTGACATTAGAGAGACTTCTATGCTACATCAAAATTATATTCTGTAAAAGAAGTAATTTAGCAGCTGGACATCATCAAAATTCAGAATTCTCTCTCTGAAAGATGTTCTTTAAAAAGTGAAAAGATATATTTGCAAATCACATATCTTTTAAAGAACTCTTAATCCAACTAGTGAGTGGTGGCTCACTCCTGTAATCCCAGCACTTTGGGAGGCCAAGGCAAGTGGGTCACTTGAGGTCAAGAGCTCGAGACCAGCTTGACCAACACAGTGAAACCCTGTCTCTACTAAAAATACAGAAGTTATCCAGGCATGGTGGTGGGTATCTGTAATCCCAGCTACTCAGGAGGCTGAGGCAGGAGAATTGCTTGAACCTGGGAGGTGGAAGTTGCAGTGAGTCGAGATTGTGGCACTGCACTCCAGCCTGGGTGACAGAATGAGATTCCATTTCAAAAAATAAATAAATACATAAGAATATAAAACACCCAATCAAAAAATGGGCAAAAGATTAGAAGATGTACAGATGGCAAATAAGCACACGAAAAGTGTTCACCATTATTAGTTATTCCTCAGAGTCAATATGCATCCTAAAACAACAAGGAGGTAGAGTGCGGTGGCTTACACCTGTAATCCTAGCAATTTGGGAGGCCAAGGTGGATGGATCACTTAAGGTCAGGAGTTCAAACCCAGCCTGGTCAACATGGTGAAACCCCATCTCTACTAAAAATACAAACATTAACTGGGTGTGGTGGCACACACCTGTAATCCCAGCTACTTGGGAGGCAAAGGCACGAGAATTGCTCGAACCCAGTAAGTGGAGGTTGCAGTGAGCCGAGATTGCGCCATTGCACTCCAGCCTAAGTGACAGATCAACACTCTGTCTCAAAAGCAACAACTATAATGAGATAATCACTAACACCCACTAGAATGTGTAAAATTTTAAAAGGCGTGGCCATATACTAAGTGTTGGTAAAAATGTAGAGCAACTACAACTTTTATATACAACTGATGGCGATGTAAAATGGTGCAACCACCTTGGAAAACAGTTTGACAATGTCTTAAAATATTGAATATATACCCATCATATGACCCATCCATTCCTCTCTTAGAATTTTACCCAAGATAATTGGTAGCATATATTCACATAAGGATTTGTGCACAGATGTTCATAGTAGCTTTATGCAATAGTAACAAACTGAAAACAGGCTGGGCGTGGTGGCTCACGTCTGTAATCCCAGCACTTTGGGAGGCCAAGGCAGGGGGACTACCTGAGATCAGGAGTTCAAGACCAGCCTGGCCAACATGGTGAAACCCTACGTCTACTATAAATACAAAAAAATAAAATAAAAATAAAAATAAATTAGCTGGGTTGGTGGCAGGTGCCTGTAATTCCACCTACTCAGGAGGCTGAGGCAGGAGAATCACTTGAACCCGTGAGGTAGAGGTTGCAGTGAGGCAAAATTGCGCCACTGTACTCCAGCCTGGGCAACAAGAGTGAAACTCTGTCTCCAACAAAACAAAACAAACAAACAAAAAACTGAAAACAACTCAAATGCTCATCAGTAGCAGAAAGGAAAAAAGCACTGCTCAACAAGGAAAAAAACAAACTATTATCTATTGTTAAAAAAAAAAAAATGATGGATCTCAAAATAATTATGTTGAGCAAAAGAAGCCAGCGTAGGAGAATAGGCAGTATAAAATTATATTTATATAAAATTCTAGGAAATATAAACAAATCAACGTGGCAGAAAGTAAATCAGAGTTTGCCTGTGGTCAGAGGATGGGTTGGTGGGGAAAGGCAGGAGGGAAGAATTACATAAGAAGCTTTTGGATGTGAAAGATATGTTCGTTATATTCTTTGAGATAATAATTTCCCAAGTGTACACATGTGTCAAAATTTATAAAGTTGTATAGTTTAAATATTTTCAGCTGGTATATGTAAAGTAAACCTTCTAAGAAGCTATAAAAGTGACCCATAAAAATACTAGCATAATGGCATAGATCTCTGTTAAAACCTCTAATTAAGTGATACTGACTTTTATCAAATTATACATGCTACCTAAAACCATGCACTTTATGTAAATTTGTACATACCATTTGTATCATCCAAAACAAATACTTATTGGGGCAGAAAAGCCACATAATGCCTGAGCCCAATTCTAGCAATATATTTTCAGACGTGGGAAATGAAAAAAATATGTAAATTGTGAGGAAGAAACTAGACAGATTCTGTTCTTTATGATTTCACCATTAACCTTGTATTAGAGAGGACAAATTTGTTTGAAGAAATTAATGTCAGATCTTCCAACTTCTCAGATCTGACTGGGCTCTTGAATTTTCAGAATATTGCACTTGGGTCGGCTGACTATGATCATCATCCTTACCCAACTAAAAGGCATAAGTGCTTCATTTGTGCAGAGTTGACACTGAATACAGAGCATATTGAACACTGCACACAATTATCCCCATCCTCCAGGAATGCAATGTCTCAGAACATGTGCAATGTCAAAAATGAATGGTCTTGTCAAGATAATTCTCAGCACTGGATATGTGGCAGGAGCTTATCTTTTCCTTGGTGCCATTGGGTCAGTGGAGGGCATCAGTTTTAAGACAACCCCATTGGCTTTTGAGAAAATGATGTATTTGCAGGCATTTGCCTTTAACATTTTTCTTTTTTGCTCAGGCTTTTAGCTAAATGTGCAAATAGCTTTTCCAATCAGCTTTGTGTTTTCCTTCTCTTTCCCAACTATTCCCACCCCAGTCTCTAGTAAGCACCACTCTACTCTATGAATATGACTTTTTGGATTCCACATATAAGTGAGGTCATCTGGTATTTTTCTTTTCTTTTCTTTTTCTTTCTTCATTTTTTATTTATTTTTATTTTTTTGAGACGGAGTTTTGCTCTTGTTGCCCAGGTTGGAGTGCAATGGTACAATCTTGGCTCACTGCAACCTCCACCTCCCGGGTTCAAGCAATTCTCCTGCCTCAGCCTCCAAGTAGCTAGGATTACAGGCATGTGCCACCACACCCAGCTAATTTTTTGTATTTAGTAGAGATGGGGTTTCACCATGCTAGTCAGGCTGGTCTTGAACTCCTGATAGCAGGTGATCCACCCGCATCAGCCTCCCAGAATGCTAGGATTACAGGCATGAGCCACTGCGCCCCACTGGTATTTGTCTTTTTGTGCCTTGCTTATTTCACTTAATGTAAGTCCTCCAGATACATCCATATTTTTGCAAATGGCAGGAACTCTTTCTAAAGCTGAGTAATATCCCATGTGTATATACTCTACATTTCCTTTATCCATTCATCCATTCATCCATTGATGGTTGATTCCATACCTTGGCTATTATAATGTTGCAATGAACATGGGAGGCTGGGTGTAATGGCTCACGCCTGTCATCCCACCATGATTACGTTGAAAGGCCGAGGTAAGCAGATTGCTTGAGCCCAGGAGTTCAAGACCAGCCTGGGTGACATGCGAAACTCTGTCTCTTCAAAAACAAAATAATAATACAAAAAGAAATTAGTCAGGCATGAAGTCATGGTAGTGCACACCTGTAGTCCAAGCTACTTAGGAAGGTGAGGTGGGAGGATCACCTGAGCCTGGGAGGTCGAGGCTACAGTGAGCTGTGACTGCACCACTCCACTACAGCATGGGTGACAGAGTGAGATCTTGTCTCAAAAAAATGAAAACAAAACAAAATATGGCAGTACAGTGCAGTTGATATCTCTTTAATATACTGATTACATTACCTTTGGATACATAACCATATTGGGATTGCTAGATTATATGGTATTCTCTATGTATATTGACATCAGTAGCAGATACTCTTAAGGCAACCCAAGATATGTTTGAAAATTTCTAGGCTTTAGATGGAGCACCTAGAAGACTGGGACAAGGTCTGCATCACTTCTACATAGTACATTTCTTGGCATGAAGTACTCCATGAATGAATGAATGAATGAATGAATGAATGAATGAATGAATGAATGAGTGGAATAAAAAGTGTACTTGTTCTTCAAAAAAGTATGTTCCAGATATGTAAATGGTTTGCATTGTGTATTGTCTACTGCTACATAAAACACTCCCAATAGTGTGCAGCTTAAAACAATGAACATTTATTATTCTCACAGTTTCTTTGGTTCAGGAATTCAAGAGTGGCATAGTTGAGCTATCTGGTTTAAGGTTTCACATTATATATTGCAGTTAAGATGTCAGTCAGGGGAACTTGCAGTGAGCCGAGTTCGCGTCACTGCACTCCAGCCTGGGCAACAGTGCAAGACTCAGTCTCAAAAAAAAAAAAAAAAAATGTCAGCCAGGGCTGTCATCATCTGAAGTCTTACCTGAGCTAAAGGACTCTCTTCCATAATAGGTTGTTGGTAGGAGGTCTCAGCTCCTCACCATGTAAGCCCCTTTATACAGCTTCATGGATTCTTTATGATATGGCATCTAGCTTCCCCAAGAATGAATGGTCCTAGAAAACAAGGTGGAAGCTACAATGATTTTTATGACTAGCCTCATAAGTTACACCCCACCATTTCTGCAATCTCTTATTGATACTCAGGCCAGTCCTATTTACTGTTGGAGAGGACTAACAAAACCATTAAATAGCAAAAGAGGAGAGTCAAGCACACTATCTTGGAGTCTGTACAGGACACTATGCTTCAGATTCATTAAACCATTCCACTATCTATTGTGACATTGACACCTACACACTCCTTGAACTTTGTCAAAAGCATCATGTTCACTATCACTATGATTTTGTGCCCTTCATTTACCTGTGTATATTAACCACAGGTTCTTTTGGTAGGTACTCAACAAAAGGAATCGATGAACTTTAATTGAAAGACAATAAATGTGTGTACTGATACTGTTGGTACTCCACTCAGATTCACTCTGATCCTAATCCTTTTTACTACTTTTATTAATTCCTCTTCTGGCTTCTCTTTGCTGTTGCCTGCACCTGCAACTCTTTTTGAAAGACTTCCTTTCTAGAGCCACTTCACCTTCCTACACAGAGAGCTGTAAATGTCTGAAATTCTATGTCCCCTTGGAGCAGTTTTTAGCCAGTAACTGAATGATGTGAGAGTATGAGATTCTAGCTCACTGGTTTTGGGTTAAAGATAAATTATGAATGACTTACTAGAGATTTTCTTTCAGAATATGGCTGAAACTCTCTGCCTGATATCACACCTTGTTTAATTTCTTCTTCTTCATACCCCTACATGCCACACACTCCAGTTTCTCCTGAGATCCCTGCCCTAAAAAAAGATTTGCACGTGATTCTTTGTCTCAGGTTTTGATTCTGGAAAATCTGACCTAAGAGAAACTATATGCTTATAGCCACAAGGAATGGAAAATTCAACTCAAACAGGTTAAAACAATAAGGGAGGTTTATTGGCTCAGATAACTAGATATTTTTGTGACAGGGAAAGTCTCAATGATCAGTGATGATGTGAAGTACACGTTGTCTTTATGTCTTTCTTCCCTCCCTAATGTTTCATCTTTAAGCTGCCTTCCCACATGGTGGAAAAATGGCTGCAGTACTGCCAGCCTTTACATCAGCAAAACATCATCCCTAAGAGGAGAAGCCATCTCTTAGGATAGCTTCTTTACAAAAGCAAGAATGATTTTTCCCCAGTTTTCTGAAAAAAAAAAAAAAATCACCTTGTATCTTTTTTTGTCTTGATTTGGGTCATGTGTCTAATACTTTACCAGTCTCTGTGAACCAAGGTGGTCACTATGACAAAGGAAATAGAGATAAACAATTGGATTGGTCCCACCAGTGCCCACTTCTGACTTAAGGGTAGGGTCATCTTCTCCACAGAAACAGACAACTGAATGTCAACCTGGGTCCTGTTAGAAAGTCAGAATTGGGGGCTAGATGCTAAACAGGCAAGAAATAAATGTTCTATCCACTCCACTCTGGTAGAGTCTTAGGAAGAGTTTCATGACATTGGCTTTGGAATGGAAAGAAAAACCAAGACCTCAACTCTCTGGAAGAGCACATGGACCCTGTATCAGACCGTTCTGACACTGCAATAAGGTACTACCTGAGCCTGGGTAATTTATGAAGAAAAGGTGTTTAATTGACTCACAGTTCCACAGGCTGTAGAGGAAGCATGGCTACAGAAGTGTCAGGAAAATTACAATCATGGCAAAAGGCGAAGGAGAAGCAGGCACATCTTCACATGGCAGAGCAGGAGAGAAAGAGAGAGTGCAGTGAGGAGTGCTACACACTTTTAAACAACCAGATCTCCTGAGAACTGACTCACTATCACAAGAGAAGCAATGGAGAAGTTTACTCCCATGATCCAGTCACCTCTCACCAGGCCCCTCCTTCAACACTGAGAATCACAATTGGCATGAGATTTGGGTGGGAACACAGAACCAAACGACATCAGACTCTCTTTCTAAAGTTCCACCGCCTTAACGTTTCTCAGGACCAATCAGTTTTGCTCTTGGTTTCTTCATCCAAATATTAAAATTCCTCAGAGCACAACTTTGATTGGCACAGCTTTGTTCAATCATTATGACCAAAGGGACAGGATCATCCAGTAAAGGCATTGCTACCTCAGGTCCACTCTTACATGCTGAGGCCATTCCCAGAAAAGGAAACATGGCTGTTGGAAAGGCATCTCCTCCTGGAGGTGGTTATAACCATGCAATGCCCTTAGGGATAGGAAGCTAATTAGCCTCTGATTGGATTCATCTTCTTTCTCAGGACTGCATTAACACCATTAGAAGCCCTGAGGTCTGATTACCACACCTCCCAAATCACCACTTATAATTCAAAGTGGAAACAATTCTTACCATAACATCAATGTGGAGATTTGATAAAATTGTGTGATTTTGCATGTTCAGAGTTTCAATGCTTTTTTTTCTTATTTTCTTAAAGCGCCATTAGTACTCTAAGCCTTAGTTTACTGTTCTTTTTTAGTGATCCAACATGGATTGCTCTCATAAAGTATGCTAAATAATTCAGAATCAAACTCAATGAATACAGTAAGTACATAGTGAAGCATGAGTAGGGGCACAGGAAATGCAAGAGTGCTGTCTCTTATGCTGCCATTATTAAAGAACACTGTACCAGGCCCTGCTGATGACCCTCCCAATTTTGTCAGTGCTCACTATGTCCAACACTCCAAGGGTTTCCTCCTGCTTGCACCTGCAACTTGACATCTGAGTATTTTCTCTGACCAAAGAAGTATGCTTAGCCTAGGCAAAGTCCTGTGGAGTTCATGTCCCTGGAAACAATTTTTGGCCAATAAGGAATGTGATGAAAGTTAAATAGTCTACTTCTCATGTGGGACAACTGTGGCAATTCACAACCATCTCCCAGAGTCTCCCAGCAACACTGAGCCTCATTTGATTACATTGGATTTGTCCCTTCCTGGACTCCCTTCTATTCTTTTTGGGTGATCCTCAGGATTATCTTTCAAATAAAATTCTTGTAGTCAAATCATTAAGTCAGAAGTCTATGGGAACTCGACCAAAGACAGACTCCAGGGAGAGGCTATAACCAAGGGATGGCTGTGGCCTGGCCACTTAGAACTCACTTAAGTTCTATTTTCTAGATGAGGTGATAAATTCAGACTAGGACACAACCTCACAGGAAGAGAAACTAGACTCTCTTCATACACTGTCATGATCAGTGTTTTAGTGTTAAACTCTTATCTAAGTTTTTCCTTATACATTACTACTGATATGCCAGAAATTCAATGAGTAATTTTATAGTGAGACAGGGTTTGTTCTAGGACGCAGTATACTTTTCTGTCTATGGTGCCCCATCAAAGTGCCTGAAGCCCAGTGAGTAATCATGAAGTTGCTACACTGACATTGATATAGAACAAAAGGAAATAGGTATTTGTAACTCATTTATCTGGGCTATGATGATGTCTGATGAACCTCCCCTGCCCTGCAGTAGAGACCTCTCTTGGCGAAATTCTTGTGATCCCCAGGTTTAGAGGCTCTCTCTGCAACAATGGTAAACTGTTCAGTTGGTATCTCAGAGTACAGCAAATTACCGCTTTTAACTGAAATATTCCTTCTCCACGTGGAACAACCAATCTATAATCATATTCCCTGGCACGCAGTCTCCTCTGCATAGTGTGGGCTCTTTTTTATTTTCACTCCTTAAGGACAAGTATTTTCATTCCATCTTTCCAAGTATTGAGTAGAGACCTCACTATTGCCTACGTACTATTTTTTTAAAACGTTTTTATACTTCATTCTCTTCCAAAAATAACTTAAGATAGCTCAAAATAATGCATGCAACACCACAAGAAAATATAAATTAGAAACAGGTGATGGAAAATATAGGTAAAATCAAGAGAGATGTCAAAAAATGGTGTTAAAATGATATCAAACCAATATGACAGGGCATTCTTGACTCTTAAGTTTTCTTAACACTGTTTAAGAGATTAAATCTACAACTATAAACCCACTTGTAGAAGTTCCAGTGTTCCTATCTCCTGGAAACCAACGTTTGTTCTCTATCTGGGACACAAGATCTTTTGCTCATCCACACAGGAGCCTCCACTGAATTGAAGGTAGTGTATGTCCAAAGCACTTACAAGTGTCCTTGCCACCTTCAATCAAAACAGTCATAACCAAAGTTATTGTTCTCCTCCTCTTTTTGGATCCTCTCCACCAAGAAGAAACAGAATCAGAGAAGTGCCATGAAAATAAATAGAGCTAGTGTTATGTATTTATTTCCAAGGCCTTTACTTCTGACAAACAGTAGCTGAAGCCTTTTATCATTTGAAGATAATTAAGCTGAAATTATGAATGGCTTTGCTATTATTCAGATAATGCAGGCACTTTCACCTCCCTCCCTTTCTATACCCTCTTCCCCATTTATATTCATGGTGACAATTTCTAGAGCTTTTCTCTTTGATTTCCTTACAATGAAATTCACTAAGAGGAGAGCAGAGAGGTTTTTAAAGGGAACTGGAAGCTTGACAGATTACGATGATTTAAACTATTTTAATTAAGTCCTAAATGCTTTCAGAGTACACAGCAAACCAACAATAATAACAAAGAAACAGGAAAAGGGCCTCAGCTTTATGGTCAGCAAAATAAATAAAATGAAGTAAACCTATTCTGTTTAATACAATTTTTTTTTTTTTTCCTCATGCTGTGCTCACATGAACGTGTCCTGGAATTTTTGTTCTTGTTGTTATGTGTACTGCAATAGAGCTGTCCAAGCAGCAGCCTTCTCTTCAAATCTTGTCTCTCAGATATGAGGTCGTGGCACGCTGAAATGCCTATCTTCAGCTTTCATTTGTTGTAAGAAAAGATAACTGCATTTCAGAGATGCATACAAATCTCACCTTTCAGGCCAAGCTGAAAGCTTCCTGAGTCCATCTGATTTCCACACACAACCTGATCACAAACTGAAGTGACCAAGGAGCTACTCTTTGACATTTCATTTTAACAATTTTTCTGTTAACATAGCAGTTATCAAAATGGTATCAATCTCTGAGGCATTTTTTTAAGTAAAGGAATACATGCCATTCTGAATCATTTATTTAAAAGTGCCAAAGCCATTCTGAGGGGTTTTAAGATATAGAAAAGTGTTGCCAAAAATAAACCAAAACTTCCTTAATAATTCTCAGTTTCCTACCTCTCTATAATGGTGGTAAGGCCAATAGCTACCACGTAAGACTGATGTGAGAATTAAAAGAGAAAATAAACATAAAGTGCTTTGTACAGGATCTGACAAATAGTAACGACTCATCTAATTAGTTATTTTTATTAGCAGCATCTTCTTCTTTATAATGACCATATGTTGAGCACACATTCTGTCATGTGCTATAAAAGCACTTTTTTGTATTAATATAACTATCTATTACCTTTACAAGAGCCCTGGAAAACAAGTTCTATAAAATTTGCCTTTTCCTGATTATGGAATAGTATATACTCTTTGTAGAAAATATAGAAAATGGAAAAAAAAACTGTGCATAAGAAAATAAAATAATCTATTATCCAGAATTAATCACTTTTAATCTCTTAGTATATTTTTTCCCAATTATAGCCTTTACATATATATATACACATATACTTCACATAATTGGAGCCATGCTGCAAACAAATGTGATCTCTCTTACTGACTTCCTTTATAGCATGAGACATTTCCTAGAACACTGCATATTTTAAAATAATATTGGCTATTACCCACGCCATTGAAATAATGCATAATAATGTATTTAACATGCTGCAAGGTAGCTACTGTTGTTCCCAATTGGCAGCTGGAGATACTGAAGCTAAGAAAGCTGAGTGATGTGCTGAGACAGAATAGCTTATGGGAAGGAGACCCAGGATTCAAAACCAAGTCTGTCTGACTCTGAAACAGATGCTCGGATGCCCCTTTTAAATGTCATTGACCTATCCTGGAGGTCACCAGCAGACATTTCTGTACATCCCCATGGCTTTTTGTCACTCTACAGGAAGCATGCTTGGCTCCTATATGTCACAGCCTGGAAGTGCCTAGGAGCTAAGGTTCTAGGAGTACCCCTCCCAGGATGCAATGGAAGTTGGTACCTAAGTACCTGACATTCCTCACCCCCTAGTGGAAAATTTCAAGGAGTGTCCCAAATAGTACCCAGTGGGATGGAGCATCTGCTGCTCACAGTAGTAACCTCATTTGTACACGCTTTATGGTTCTACTTCCTCCCTGTTTTCCTTTCTCACTCCCTTACAGTGCTTCCCAAGTAAATAATGTGAGCAAAAATCCTTGCCTGAGTGCTTCCTTTTGAGGGATAGTCAAAATAAGAGAATCTCAGTAACACTCTCACTCAGAATCCCTCAGAGTTGCTTTGGACCTGCCCCACAAACACTCCTTTGCTTATCTTACCATTTCACTATTAGATGAATCTTTTTCTGGTGACCACAGCATTTGCAATATAATGATTTTCATGCTTATCGGCTTCATGGCTTAGAAAGTATATTAGTCCATTCTCATGCTGCTATAAAGGACTGCCTGAGACTGGGTAATTTATAAAGAAAAGAGGTTCAATTGACTCACAGTTCCACGTGGCTGGGGAGGCCTCAGGAAACTTAGAATCATGGCAGAATGGGGAAGCAAACATGTCCTTCTTCACAGGATGGCAGGAAGGAGAAAAATGAGTGAAGGGGAGAAAAACTCCTAATAAAACCATCAGATCTCATGAGAACTCACTATCACAATAATAGGATAGGAGAAACTGCCCCCATGATTCAACTGTCTCAACCTGGTTCCTCCCATGACACGTGGGGATTATGGGAACTACAATTCAAGATGAGATTTGGGTGGGGACATAGTGAAACCATATGAGGAAGTTATTCCATTTTTTTAGTTTTATTCTTCATAGCAAACCTATTAGGTGAGCATGTTAGTGCTTATTAGGCCCATTTTATAGATGAGGTAAAATTGGCCCAGATAGGTTAGTGATATCATTTAAAGTCTAAAAGAAAGTTTGTGACTATTTTCTGTTGAATCCCATTACATAGATTCTCTATTATGCACCTTGGCTTGCTCTATATTTCACAGTCTGGAATAATATGGAGAACTATGACTGAATGATAATCAGAGAATGAATAATGATCTATTGATTAAAAATAAATAAGATTGTTATAGTGCTTAATACTGTTAAGTTTTAATGTTTTTCCCACAAATTCAATAAATTAGTAATACAGTTTGAACAGCAAGGTGTTTAACCTTATCTGCTAAAAAAAAAAAGATAAATAAAATATGAAAAATAAAGGTCACAGTTTAAAAAAGTAACTGCCTCTCCCCTTTTTGTATACATTTCTCCCCTTTAGAAAACTTCCTGTTAGAGCTAATTAATTGGTCAACATAAGATCATGTGCAAACGGTACTGTATTCTCTGTGGAAAATTTTGAATTGATAGCATAAGATGGAGTTGCCTTGGGCAAAAGTCTGAGATTTCAATCACACCAAAACTACAGAGGAGTTATTAACACGTATAAATAACAACCAGCACATCTCTCACGAACATGCAAAACTTATTGATTATCTCTTCTCTTGAGGCTGTTCCCCAGACTGCAACTCTGTGTTCTGTTTTACTTAGGTTCTCAATCTTAAAGAATCCCATCAGTCCTCCCATTTTAGACTACACTCCTTGTGGATCTTTCTTAATCTAAAACTGAAGATCTCTTATTTTGTTTGGACTCCAGCCTCTTATCTGTAACTACCAGCTGGAAATTTTAATTTAAATATCCTAGTATGGCTTAAAACTCAGTATGTGTAAAAGCAGACTTTTGAGTTCTTTCCCAACATGACTGTCTATGTCTATACACTCATGTACTCTAAAAATCTTGTGTCTCCTTTGACTCATTCTTCTTTGTTCTCCCCTCCCAAAGACTAATTCTATCATTTTTTCCTATTCAAAATGGAATACCATTGCCACAACATCATATAATTACCTCTGCCTGAGTCACATCAACAGCCTTCCTTACCCACTGAGCCCTTCCCTGTCCTCCAGTTTCATGCTCCTTCATGTATCATTGGGGCATTGGACCAAATCCCCCACTGACTCCATGCAGCAAGTGTAACTTCTTCTGTTGGATTCTCAAGATCCTTTCTAATATGTCCCCATTTTGGTCCAACTCTATTCTTTTCATTCTGCTATATGTACTTTCAGATTTGATCAGTGTCCAAAGTCCCAGAGATCTCTGGTCTCTGATCAGAGTTCCGCTCACTTTTTTTTCCATTATTTTACACAGGTGCATAATATAGAGGTTCCCTGAAGTCGGGGTTTAATTCCTATTCTCTGTTCATAAATGTGCCTATCACAGTGTTAAGCACAAGTAGAAGCTCAATAATTATTCATTATCTCATTAAGTTAATGTCTACAACATGATTTTTGAGAGTTAAGGAGTGCATATTTCAGGTGCCAATTAAAAAAATCCACTATACTGGATATGCATTACAGTTGGTGCAATGCTTCGAGGTTTATAGGCTGGGAGGGACTCTGTGGCCCACTCCTCAGGCAGAAGTACATTGTTGCTCAAGCCAATGATTTGGTTGTCAGAAGGCACAAAGTCCAGGCTCAGGATCTAGTGGGTCAACTCTCTAATTTCTGATCATATTCCATATCAAGATGTTACTGATTTACCCTGGAACAGAGAGGGAAAGGATAGCATTGGGGGTGTCTTACCTCTTATCCTCTCTCTCCACTCAACCAAGATCTCATTCTTGCTGAGTCCAATTCTGTTCTCCTGGCTGTAGAAAAAAGAACAAAAAATCATCTTGTACCTGGAAACAGGAAAACAAATACTGCATATGGGCTCATATTATAAGTTGTATCTTTTATATATGAGTCGCATTGCTTGAACCTGACTACTTAGAAACAGGGTTGAATTCAGAGTCAGTGGTCCCCAATCCTGGCTGTTGATCAGTGTCTTGGAGGGAGAGTGGTTGGATTCAAAAACACTGATGCCTGGGCTCCAACAACCACAGATAAGGATTTGGTAGCTCAGCAGTGGAGCCCAGGCATATGCAATTTTTAAAAGCTCCCCTGGTAATTGTGAGCATCCAGGGTTGGAAATCATTGTTCTAGATGTAGCAGCATGAGGTGAGTGAACATTAAAATTCCTTTTCTGTATTAAGAGCCTACGATTTGAATGAAGAAACCCATTGCTGTATCAAAGAAAGTGCTTCTGGGCTAGGAAACGTGGCTTGATGGAGGAAGATTATGTTCTATATCCCATATCACTCACTTTGATTATCCAACATCGTAGGCTGTAATACAGCTATATGCTTAAACTACTCTCCTTTAGAAAGTTAAAGGAAATAGACCTGTTGGCTTGTATTGACTTAGAGGATTTTGAATGACTATAACTTGCAAAACCTATTGACCTTCTATATTGTAGCTAAGAAGTATTTTAAGCCTAATCAGAAACATCCTTTTAAATCTTTTCAAGTCGATAAGGTTCAACATTGAATCAACAAGTAGAAGAGGTTCAAGTAGAAATTTGTCAAACAAGGACAAATTCAAATGATGTTCACTTAAAGGAAATTGATGTACAAAGAGGGAAAGAGAAAACTCTACTTTCTCAAAATAGTGAACGTCATAATTTCCCTATAATTCCTGGAATGCCTATCATCTTCTTCTGTGTTCCCTTCCATTTTCCTATTCAGATAATATGTTTGTATTTCCATATGAAATGTCAGATTACATCACTCGGCCACCCACTATGGAAGTTACCTGGAAATATTTTGATCTTCCACAGAAAGTCTTTATGCATTCTTGCCACCACCATTAGTGTGTTTTCAACTTAAAGTATCATCAAATGAGTTTTCACTTTGAAATAAACATAATCGTTCTCAGAAATGGAAGAAAGTGTTGTTTCAGAAAAGAGCCGACTCTGTGGCTGGGCTCCTGGGAGTGTCCTTTATAGACCATTGGTACTTACCCAATCAAAGGACTTCACAACCGTGGAGACTGTTGATTTCAAGGAGCCTTATGGGAAAGTTCATTTTCCACTTCAAAATAAAGCCCAAAGGATTTGAAACTTTACTAGGTATTCATTCCTTTGGGTTAATTTATTGCTAGATTTTATTTAGTTAACCTGTTCACAGTCATTTGTACCATAGTCTGAGCTAGTTCATTAACCACTTTCTGCTGTGACCTCCAGCTGTTATTTTCGTCTGGATCAGGGAGAATAAGATGGGTGGAGTCATTTCAGGATGTATCAAATTGATGTGATAACTATGGGCCCCTCAAAAAAAAGGGCAGGAATTCTACTATAGCAATTGAAGATATCTGTCTGAGCAGTGAAGTAGGACCACGTGAGGTCAAGAAAATTGTTTCTCCAGGCGGTCTAACACATTATATAATGTGCAAATACATACACTTAGCCTCTAACTTTCTCTACCTCACTTAGTCACAGACTGGAAAAAGAAAATTGATAAGCTCTTAGACTCTACATGCCCCCATCTGGATTCTTGGGGATTTCCTGAGTGAATTGTGAAGGTCTTGTTTACCATGTATTTGACCATCCTTTAAAAAGTTTTCAACTGGAGCCCAGCATGGTGGCTCACGTCTGAAATCCCAGCACTTTGGGAGGTCAAGGAGGGTGGATCATTTGATGTCAGGGGTTCAAGACCAGTCTGGCCAACATGGTGAAATCCCGTCTCTACTAAAAATACAACAATTAGCCAGGTGTAGTTGTGGACGCCTGTAATTTCAGTTACTTGGGAGGCTGAGACACAAGAATCTCTTGGACCCAGGAGGCAGAGGTTGCAGTAAGCTGAGATCACACCACTGCACTCCAACCTGGGTGACAGAGCAAGACACCATCTCAAAAAAAAAAAAAAAAGAAAAGAAAGAAGAAGAAAAACGTTTTCCACTGTACAATAGTACTAAAATGGAGAGAGAGAAATGTAGTGTGATTTTTCTTCAGCCTTCCCCCCTACCTTGAGATAGTCCTAGGCAGGCTGACGGGTCTGCAGTGTGAACTCTTCCCCAGGTCTGACTGGGCAACCCAGAGGTCTGACCAACTCGAAACAGCAGAAGGGATGTAGAAGCCTAGGAGAAGGTTACAAGACAAGTTTGCAGAAAAGTTGGAATATCACCTGCCGTGTTCTCCAGCTCACTAGGGCATCATTATCTTTCAACTCATCCAAGGGGACCCCTTGGACATATTAGATCCTTTACACAGTCAATCATCAAGCACAATCCATGTTCCACTAATGTTCCATCAATGACTTCTCTCCTCCATACACTATAGCACTTCCACTTATTCAGAACTTCATTGTCACCTGGGATACAGCAGCTTCATTCTACCTGATCTCTCTGTGACCAGTCTCCGTCCCTATAAATCCACACCCCACAATATGGCCAAAAATATGTCCTAAGAACATAAATTTTCTTTCCTGAAACTTCAAAGATTTTCTCATCACCCCAGGAGGATTTTCCTAATAATGGGACACTTGGCACTGGTAGCTCTGAGAATGCTTTTAGAGGCCCATGATGACAGCGTTACCTCATGTTAAATCCACAGCAGCAACTTCTCAGATCCCTCTCCATTCTTCTACGGGAAAATTTCACTGTAGGAGTGCTTTATGGCTGTCATACTCTTCAAAAACCTGCTCATTTCCCTTTTTAGCCAAGAGATAGTTGGCTTGGGCTCAGAGTTGTCTTTAGGCAAAAGTATCTAGAAAGAGCGTAATAATATAGTTTGGTTTTACTTTATGGGTTTCATTTTCTTATATTTATGACAAATGGTATGGGTTATTATTTACAATGGTAGTAGAATTTTCTTATAGAGTAAGTTTATTTAGTTTAAAAGAAGGTGAGTCCATTTAAAGACCAATTAAGTAAATGGTTAAAGAAGAGATACTGCAGTACTCAGATCTGGCAAAAATTGTGAAGTTGATACTGAATGACTGAAGTTTGGAAAGCCCTGACTTTAGGGGTTACAGTCTATGCTACTCAACATGGCATTTGAGGACTTCAGCGTACATTCCCACTTCTCCCTCTGGTGACATTGATGACCACCTTGTCCTCTCACTGTATCGTGTCACTGTGCTGAGTGGCACATGCTAGAGTGAATGCCTAGAGTCCTTCCCTCCTCCTCACCTACCTGTGACTTCCAATTCTTTGATTCTCAATTTTTTGTCATTGTTGTTGCTCGAAGAAATCTCCTGACATCCCATCTCCATTGCCTATGACAGTTGGCTTTTCTGGATTCACTTATTCTTACTCTACTATATGTCAAATCCACCCACAGCTCTCACCGTGCTCCCATGGAGCATTTAGTTTAGTATGGCTGCAACCCCTGTAAAGGAATGATGTGCCATTCTCCACATATATAATATCTAAATAATCTCCATAATAATAATACTAGAAAGGAGAACTGTGATGCTAATATCACAGATATGAGAATATCAAGACACAGAGATTAACTTTCTCAAGGTCATAGAACTACAAATGGATAGTACCCAACTATGCCAAGGGAGAAGACAGGGGAGCAGGATACTTTTTGGATAGGTGCTGTTGGTTCAAGGCACACTCAAATGTAAATACATCTGGATATCACCATCTTGACTATTTGCCACCATACAGAGGAATGCAAAGGCATCAGAGACTGTGCCTGCAGCCAGTAGTGCCGAAACTCTTCTCCCTTCTGCCTGTGAGGCAGAGATGACACAGTCTCTGAGTGCACATGGTCCCAGTCCCTGAAAGGAAGCAACTGTGATACTGTGGGAGACTCAACAGCAAAGACATTGACTAGTGCCTATGAACATTGCTGCTGGATACTGCAGGAGGCAGGATGGGAGAAGCAGATTACATTTCCTTCATACTTTAAAATAATTTAATTTTTTCTCATGCAGTCTAAATGCTCACTGCTTTAGACTAGCAGTGTGTTTTCATTTCATTTCATTTGCACTATCTAATTTCTGCTCACATCCACCCTGAGATAGCTAGCCTTTTCATATAAAGTCAGGCATGCTTTCTTAGTCTACAGTTAAGAAAACTGAAGTTCAGAGAAGCTAAATTTTGTCCAAGATTGCACAACTGCTTAATTCTGAGAGCTGAGGGTTGAATCTGAACTGCTGGTCCCGAAACCAATGCTTTTTCTATAATGCCATGTGTGTTCCCATAAGGAAGAGGTCAGAGTTGTGTTGTTTTGTATTCACATTACCTCTGAAAGTGTCATACCAGCTGGCTGGGGATTATTTCTAGTCTAAAATGGTATGGGAAAAGAAAAGGATCACTTACAACAAATCCTAGACTTGATGTCTTCATGAACCACAGTTCAGCAAAACATTCTGTGGAATGGTTGTGTCCAGATTGGCATTGCTGTGAGAAATCATCAGTGCTGCCACTGGGAGCCAGAAAAAAACGTCCTTCCTGGTATGGCCAGACACCCTCTCTGCTTTGTGACCCATCAGTAGGGTCTAAAGTTCAACTCCTTCCTAATTTCTCTTCTGCTGCTCATTTCCCACTAACAAGTTCAATCTCAACAGCTAGGGCACTAGCAATCTCGAGTCTCAGCAGCTGGGCTCTGTGCCACTGTCTTCAGACAGTGATGCAGAAACTAAGCATCAACCATGGCAAAAGGCTGGTAGAGATATAATATCTACTGTTTATGATGCAGTGTAGAACATGGAGCCATTCCCTCAGCCCCTTCTGCCCTCTGCCTCAAAGATGGACTTCCATTTCCATTTGATTGAGGGAACAGATTACCTTCCTTGAATGTGTCCATATCCAACTTTATCTTCTACCACACACCCGTACTTTACTCTCACCAGACTCTTCTACATTCTTCCAGGGGGCTCACAACACTCATGCCCTCATGACCTTTAACAATTTCTTCATCTAGAATTACCTGCCTTATCTTTTCCATGTCTAAAAACTCTGCTTATCTTTAACACTCAACTCAAATACCACCTCTCTGGGGACATTCTCACTGTTTCCTCCTCTATTCCTCTTCTGAAACTCTATAACTCCTTAGTTCTTACACCTCATATCATAGAAGTTACGAGCACTTGCTTTAGAGTCATAGAGTTAGGCTCAAAACCAGTACCTCCAATTACTGATGATAACACTAAGAAGCCCATCAATTGCTCAGAATATTTCTTCACTCATCTTAGAATAGGAATAATAATAAGATCCTCTTCAGGAGACTGGTTAGGAGCTAAATGGCATGGAATAATAATATACATTTATCGTAATGCCACAATGTAGATAAAACACTATAATAATTCGTTTTACTTCTTTTGCTACAAATAAGATTTCCCACGCCATACTTTGCAGAGCAGTTACTTGGATACATGCCATACACTCATTGCAGTGGGTTCAGTCTCTAGGCCTCCCAAAAGGATTGAGTGGGGAAGGGAAGAAATGATAAGGATATGAAGATTGAAGCAAGTACAGATTTTTATTTGCCATTTTCTGCACATCAGAAAACTACTGTAGACTCAACAATGTGCTCCTGCTCTTCCAGTTGCAGTCATTTAAGCCAGAATATCTATGACTTTATGAGTACAACCGCTTCCTCCTCAAGGTCCCTGATACTGTGAAGAATCTGGAATTCCTGATTCCTGCCAAAAAAAGAATACTGCCTGCCAAAGAGGTTGCAACTCTGGATTTTCCCAGAGGGAAGCCATAAAGATTCCTCACCTCATTTCTTAGAGCACTCTCAACACTAGCGTCTTAAGGCTTTCCTGTTCATAGGTCCTAATTTTAATTCCCAAGACCCAGAAACATACCTGAGAAGTGTTGGCTAGGAGACATTCCAGTGGAAAATGTTAGTCTCTCTGTGAAGATAGCTAATACTTACACAGAACTCACTCTGTACTAGGTACTTTTTTTTTAAAAGGGCTTTAAAGAGTCTAACTCATTTAATTCTCATAGTGATCATAAAGGGTAATCCCTATTATTATCCTCATTTTACAAATGAGGAAACTGAGGCATGAAGAAGCTAACTTACAAAGATTGCACAACTAAAAAGCATTCGAGCTGGGACTCAAACTATAATCGCACCTCCGAGCCATGCCCCATTAAAAAAATAGGCAGACAGCTGGAAAGTCACTTATACAGATGTAAATTTAAATACTGATTTAAACTCTCTCCTTGAGACTCTGATACACTACCACTTTTCCTAGTACCTGTTCCACCCTCTTCCCCAAACTACCTTAGGTGCCACTTATTTATTTTTCTCTTATCATTCTGCATCCACCTCAATCCTGGATCTCCCCACCCCTACCCAAGACTGTGGACCCTGAAGAACAGATAACATTTTTATTCATCTTTGCCACACCATTGTCTAGCAAAATGCCTGACACAGCAATATTTCGAGAATAAATGAATAAATGATGGAGGCTATATATCTGTCTATTAAATCTATGGGAATCAATCTATGCTATTTCATTTCTAGAGAGTAGGGACAGTCCTTTTTATATCTTCATACCCCTCTAAATGATTAGTAGCTATCTCATAATAAAGGCTCCTTGAGTGCTAGTTGAAAGAATAAATGAATAAACAACCCTTTTCTGGAAGTCCTGGTAAATCTTGCCCCTGCCTCTTTCTCTGTTCTGTGTCTCTCTAATGCTTTAGCCCCCACAGGCTTCATCTGTGTAGCTTATTCATGTTTAAAAATGAAGATGACACTCTACGGTCTTAGAAATATTCTAGACTCCAACTGCTATTTTTAAAAGGGACAAGTGCAATTGTGGTTACAGATCTATGTGAGGAACAGCAGGAGTTTATCATTTGTTGGTGCTGTGGAATAATTCCAACATTTATGGTTCATTTCTCCCTTTCTCCTTCATCGTGTTTTCTCAGTTCCCAAGCTTGATAATGTCCTGCCATGTTATGAGAAAAATAGTACTAAATCTGATGGCAAGTCTGTGTTTAGGGAGTCCGGAAACACATTCTCTCTCTCTCTCTCTCTCTCTCTCTGTGTGTGTGTGTGTGTGTGTGTGTGTGTGTGTGTGTGTGTGTGTCTTTCTCTCTCCTCTCCTCTCTCTCTCTCATCAAAAATGGCAGAGGTGGGGGCCGGGGTGTCCTGAGAGTAGTTAACTACCCTCACCATATTGTATCATTAGGGGCACTGTAGAGGATCCAGAAATAAATAATTTAATGTAGCTTTTCTCTTTCTCTTTTTCCTGGTCTCTGAATTAAGGAGAAGATGACTAGAAATGTCATCCTCTACCTTCTACATGCCAATATTTAGCTGGTAGGGAAACCTGGAGCCAAGGGGTCTGTTGAGTCCCTTTTAAGTGACAGCATAAAATTCTAGTAGGTAACAGTAGCCAACCTGTAAGGTGGCCCACAGTCATCTCTGCCTCCTGGTATGCATGCCTTCATACAGTTCCCTCCCGTATTATACTAGGGTTGGTCTCTGTGACCAATAACCCAATAACACATAACAGAAGTGATGATGTGTCACTTCCAAGATTAAATTCTATATCTGCTGTGACTTTCATGTGGGTCTTGCTCTTTCTCTCTCTCTGGTCATTCACTGTGGTGAAGCTAGCTCTGTGTCTGTAAGCAGCCCTATGAGCATGCCTGCATGGTGGAAAACTGAAGTTAATTACCAACATCCATGTGAGTGGACTTGGCTCTTCGAGCTCATCAAAGCATTGGGATGACTGTAGCCCTAGTAAACATCTTGACTGTAATTTCACAAGAGATTGTCAACCAGAACTATCCATCTAAAATGTTCTGATTCCTGATCTCAGAAGCTGGGTGAGATCATCAATGTTTATTGTTATAAGCTGTTAAGTTTTGGAATAACTTGTTTTGCAGCAATAGTCAACTAATGCAGCCTTGTGGTTAATGCAAGGAATTGAAATCAGACTGGGGTTGACATTGCCACATTTTAGCTGTGTGAATTCTGTGGGTTCCTTATTTCTCTGAATTCTGAATTTATCATTTAAAAACAGCAACCTCAACTCATAATACCTACCTCATACAGATATGATTCAATGGGGAAAATACGTGTAAACACACTTAGCACTGTGATTGCCACATAGTTCAGTGTTCATTAGCTCAACAGTAATTTAAAGAAACTCTCAAAATAAATATAAATATTTCAAAACCCTCTTTTATCGCCATTTGGAGTACAGCTAGTTCTAATGTAAAGCAGTGGAGAAAACATATTTACTAGTAAGAATTCAATGAGCAGTACAGATGAGATGGGCAGGAAGTAGGTGAAAATGTTGGTTGTCTGGTAGTCTAGAAGGGAGCTCAAAGCCTGATTCATTTGCATATTAATGTAAATTCCCACAGAGAGATTTTTAGCTATCCAGTAGGACCTGAACACTGTTTGCACAAAGGCCCAAACCCTGATGAGATGTCCTGCTTGTATAGATTTGAATCTTTTCTCCTTTATTTATGGTTTAGCCTCAGGAAAATCCCCATTAAACATGAAGACATAGTTTCTCATTACACAAACGGAGACACGGAAATGCAGAGAATTTAGCCTCTTGCCTCAGGTTCCCAGATAGACATGCATAGGATTAGAACCCTGGTCTTGTGCTCTGCCTCCGAGTCTCCTACGTCATCTGTGAGTTGCAAGGAGACATCCCGGAGCAGCTGAGACACATTCAATCCCTTATGCTTGCTTTGCTAAAAGGAGAGTGACTATGAAGCCAAGCATAGCAACTTATGTCTAACACATGTTAAGTACGACTCAGGCCAAATGTATTGCCTGGGAATTCTGCTCAGTGCTCTGATTCTCACTCTCTACATGTCAAAAGTAGTTTCTGCAGAGCGTTAGCAGTGACAAACCCTGTAAATCTAATTGCTCCTCTGGTGGTTTGGATGTGGTCTGAGGCTACCGTTAGGCTCATTTCATCACACTGGGGTTACCACTGACCTTTTAATGCTTCGATGCTATTGGAGATACTGTGATTTTGGTGCTGGGATGCTGCTGACCTCTTCACAGTTCTGTGATGCTGAGGTTGCTGCTGAATTTGTCAAGGTTTGGTTCTACAGTGCCGGGAATGTTACTGATTTTCTCATGGTCAGAAGCAGCTTGCTGAAAAGAAAAGCTTTCCTGTGCAGATATTAATGGGAAGGATTTGCTAGCTCCATACTCACCTTGCACGTGAAGGCTCTCTCATGATTACAGCCCAAATTGAAACTCAGGAGTCTGCAATGGTTGCTGGCTTTGTAGAATAATTCTCCCAAGCTGCCGGTTTTACACAAACTTTTTGGGCTATTTTCCCAGGTTTCTCAAACTGGAGCTCCAGATACAAGAATTTGTTAGATACACATAGTTTACAACAGCATGCTCAGAATGAGGACCAGCTAAAGTCACTTTTCTCTGTGCTGGTTTGGGGCATGCTCTGCTTGTTTCAAAGGCCATAGCCATGGAATGCTAGAGAGTGTGGTAAGATTGGCTAGTCACCAGGGTAGTGCTTACCAAAGTGTCTCAGACATGTTTATGTTATTCCTTTATGATCTGCATGCTCACCACTTAAAGTCTTTCCCCCTCCCAACTTTATTGAGGTGTGATTGGCAAGCAAACACTGTATGTATGTAAGATGTACAACATGATGTTTTGATATGTGAATACATTGTACAATGATTCCTCCAATCAAGTTAACCTGTCCATCACCTCACACACTTTAGTGAGAACACTTAAGATCTATTCTTTTAGAAAATTCTAGTATATAATTCATTATTATTAACTAGTCACCATGCTGTATATTGTATCTCCAGAACATACTCATTTAACAATTCTGACACATAGTCCCCAATTTCCCCACCTCCTGCCTCTGGTAACCACTGTTATACTCTCTATTTCTAATGATCAACATCTGTAGATTCCACACGTAAGTAAGATCATGGGGTATTTGTCTTTCTGTGTCTGCCTTATTTCACCTAGCATAATGTTCTCCAGGTTCATCCATGTTGTCACAAATGGCAGAATTCGCCTTCTTTTTAAGCCCAAATAATATTTCCTGTAATGCATACACACATATACATACACATACATTTTATCTATCCTTGCACCTATTGACAGACACTAAGGATGTTTCCATATCTTGCCCATTGTGAATAATGCTGCAATGAATATGGAGTGCAAATATCTTTTGGACATGCTGCTTTTATTTCTTTTAAGTGCCTACTCAGCAGAGGGATTACTGAATCATATGGTGGTTCTATTTTTAATTTTTTAGGAACCTCTGTACTATTCTATATAAGGCTTGTACTAATTTACATTTCCTCCAACAGTGTACAGCGATTCTCTTTTATCCACATCCTCACCAACACTTGTTATTTTTTGCCTTTTTGATAACAGCTATCCTAACAAGTGTGAGATAATATCTTGTTGTGGTTTTCATTTGCATTTCCCTGATGGTTAGTGATGGCAAGCACCACTTCATGTACCTATTGGTCATTTGTATGCATTCTTTGGGAAAACATCTGTTCAGATCCTTTCCTGATTTTTTAATTGGGTTATTTGATTGACTGGTTGGTTTTGCTGTTGAGTTGTGTGAGTTCCTTACAGATCTTGAATATCAGCCCCCTATCAGATATGCAGTTTCCCAATATTTTTTCCCATTCAGTTGGTTGCCTTTTCATTTACTGATTGTTTTATTTCCTGCAGAAGAACTTTTCTGGTTTGATGTGGTGCCACTTATTTATCTTTCCTTTTGTTGCCTGTACTTTTGGTGTCAATATTCATTACCAAAACTAATGTCAAGGACCATTTCCCTTATGTTCTCTTTTAAGATTTTTACAGTTTCAGGTCTTATGTTTTAGTATTTAATCTATTTTGAGTTTATCATCTCTCTTTCCAAATGTTGCTTACTTAATGAGACCTTTCCTGGACCACTCTATGTGAAAGTGCAGCTCTTCCTCCAATACTTCCTCTGCCCTTCCTTGCTGATCTGTTACTCTTCGGACTTATCACCTTCTAACAAACTAAATAGTTTATTTTGTTTACACTAAAATGTGTGGCAAAATATTTCATTTGTTTATTTACTCTGGGTTCTCAGAACCTAGAGCAGTGTCTGAGAACTCAAATATACTAAGTAAATAGTGATTACATTAATTTTGACAAAATTAAGAGAAGGAACACATACTTTGCTTTGCAATCTTTTAACATCACTAGTATATTATATCTTCTTAATATCCATGCCTTCTTAATATTCCCTATGCCTTGCCCCATTTTGATCCTCACCCCAGATTGGCATAGTCAGCACTATTATTATTCTCACTTTGATAGAAGCCAGGCTCGGAGTGGTGACATAATTTTGCTAAATTCACACAGTTAAGAAGTGACATAGCTCTGGTGTGAACAGGCATCTGACTGCAATGAGCTGTGACTCTTGAGTGTTTTCTTCTTACTGATGTCATTAGCGACTTAGAGGTGATCCACAGAAGAATTCTGGAAATCAAAGTCTTAGATGTTTTGATGCCCAAACCTTAGTCGTTTTCCCCTTTCTTTTGAAGAACAATACATTAATCAAGTACTAACCATTTTACTAGAAAGAAAGATCAGGAGCACATAGAGAACAAAATCTTCTTTGCTTTTCTTAGTAAGCAATTTCACATCTTGGAAAACATCCAGGTGGAAGCATTGGGTAACTTCAGGCTACTTGGTGGCTTGTGGGGATCCCTCCTACAGTACCCCAGCTGGCTTTGTTTCCCTCTCAGCACAATAATGTGGGGTGTAGTGAGCCAGGCTACCACTGGATGGGGCTCCACATGTCCAGGCCTGTTGCTCCAGAGAACCAGAGATCCATTCAGGGACCTCGGGAAAATGTTTGTTAATAACAACAGGGAAAGTTCATTGACTCAGACAGATATGGGTTCTGATCTCAGTCTTGTTGCTTGTCATCATGGGACCTTTGTCAAGTTAATTAATGTTTCTAAGTCTTAGTTCCTTAAATAAAAAATAGGGTCAATTCTGGTGCCAGACTGCCTGACCTAGAACTCTGGCTCCTCTACTAGCCAGTTGTGCAACTATAGGCCATACTGTTAATGCTTTGTGCCTTGCTGTCCTCATCCGTACACAGGTATAATTTATTATGGCGATGTGAGAATTAAACTAGTTAACATGTGTAAAGTACTTGGAAGAGTGAGTAGGCGTTACCATTATTATATTATCTGACTCCATTGTTTATTATTAGCACCAAATGAGATACATATGTTGTCTTATGTTTTGGCCTTCTCCCGAAGTAGGCCCTGTGATAAAGATTTGAATGCAAGTGGTTTGTCTGGGAGAAGGTCTCAGGAAGCACTGGTAGGGGGCTCAAGAAGGAAGAGAGAAAAGAGGAGGCAGGTCACAAAGTATGCTAATGGTCAGGGTCCTATTGCGGACATTAGAGAGTCTATTCTGCCAGGGACCCCTGGGAAATAGGGAATCTGTGCCTGAGAGCTACCTCTCCCAAGCGGTGAGGAACGTGCTTATTCACCTAGTCATTGCCATCCATCACTGATTGAGAGTTGCCTTAGAAATATTCATTCCACCTCAGTTCTGAGTTCAGTTTGCAGACAGAGTATGTGCTTGAGGCCAGAAAGGCTATGTGGTGAGCAGCTTCAATATGCACAGATGAGTGCTGAGGGGAGTTGGAGGGACTACAGTCCTGCTACAGGAAAAGTGTCAGATAGAGAACCTGGCTTGCAATGGGTTTTCAATAAATGTCTGTAACATTCCATCTACTCTTTTTTTAAAAAATCTCCTGTGTCCAGATTCTATTCTTTATGTCTTTTCTGGCTACACAAGGTGATTCCTCCAAAAGGGGTGAGTCAGAGATTTGAGGGCAAGTGGTTTATTTGGGAGATGACACCAGAAGGCAACAATTGGTAAGGGGGAAGTGAGGCAGGGAAGAAGAGGCAGCCAGTAGAAGGTATGTTATAGATCAGAGTTCTGCTGTGGGTGACTGAGGCTCAATCCCTCAGGGGGACCCTGGGACAGTGCAGGGCACACCTCAGAATCAATCATCTGTACAAAGGAGCAAGGATGCTGTAGGATGTTTGTCCACCAAGTCCCTGTCAGTCACCGGATGACGGCTGCTTTGAAGCATTCTCTCTCCAGTGTGAGGAAGAAACTTTGCTAATCTCTCTCCTTGCCATCATGTTTCAGTGCGTGCTTAACCCAGATTGAGAGCTGTTAAAGCCCTGGTCTACCCAGATTAGGAATTAGAAGTTAGTGATTTTTGCCCAGCTCCTAAGTACATATTCTCTTGTATCAGAAAGCAGTGTAATCAAGTTCTGGAAAAGCACAGTACATCTGAGCTATTACTGCTCCACCTTTGGCCTCCCCTTCCCCGTTAAGACACCACAACACTAGGCCTGTCCTTCCTGATCTGCCAAAGGCGACATGTTTGCCAGACCCTGCCTGACTATGCAGACACCTATGTCATCCCGACAGAGCCTCCAGCAGACTCTCAGGATGAAAACCCTGTTCATCTCAGTATAAATATCCTCTGCCATGTGTTGTTCACAAGCCACATCCACAGGGCAAGCACATCCCAGAGAACTGAAATTCTAGTTGCTGATGCCAAATGCATTTTCAGGAATGCTTTAAAGTTGAACCACATTGAATTAAACTCAGGGCTCACATTTCTGGTGAGCTCACCCCATCCTGGTTGGGTTATGTTAACTTTGTAGTAGTGTAAACACATGGAACCAAGATGAAACAGAGATGGCTCTGCCAGCTTTAGAGGTGGGGGTGCACTCACTGGGAAAAGGTTAGTTGCCTGTGGGATCAGTCCAATGCCATCACCTTCTGGGAACTCGTTATCACAGAATAGCCCTAATGCAATTGGCTTGGGAAGAGGTATGTATGACATCACCTTTGCATGTACTCTTCCTTCTAAAAACATGTAAAATATGTTTGAAATTAATTCCTATTCTCAGCTATTCTTTTTCTACGTCTGCACCCTTTGCTCAAGCCACTCTAGTTTATAGGCTATTCACAGAGTCATCAGCACATTCACACCACAGAATTTTGGCCCATACCATTCTTCCAAATGGAATGCCTTGCCCCCAGGCAATGCTGCACATCCTGCCCACGGTCCCAACTCAATTGAGTTTCTAATCTTTTTCACTTCTGATGAAATCAGTTGATCTTTCATTCATGGTCTCATTGCAGTCAGCACAAACCTATGTAATAGCGCTTTAATTATTACATTTGATATATGCACTTGCTTTTCCTAGGTGAATCATGGACTACCTGAGTGCAAAGACTGTACCATTCTCATCTTTATATGCCACAGAACACAGCACACTCTAGGCACACAATGAATATGTGTTGAATTGAGGACAATTCACACAATGAAATTGAAAGAATATTAATTATCTTAAAAATAACCAGAGAGCACCCAAGAAACTTCTGGGGGCACCTCAGACCTATAAGAGACATGGCAAGAACCACAGGGCATAGGTCATACATGACATTCTTAAAATATTCAGAAGTCTTTTTGTAAAGATAAATTTAGACAGATGGCAAAATACCAAGTAACTCTTTGCAGCATATGATTAGTGCCAAAAACAACATAAATAATATTTATTTAAAAGCCAAGGATGCAAAGGAGAGAAAAAGAGAGAATATTTACAGACGTAACCAAGGATAATCACTGTTGTAAGGTGGAGACTGAGTTGAGCCATGACGAACGAGTGGAGACTTAGGTAGGTGGAGAAGAAGCTGAGAAGGAGGAGAAAACACATCCACTCACAAAATCTCTACTGTCAAAGAGAAAAACCTAAATTCTGCAGTCTGTCATTCAGGGCCTTTCCTATCCAACTGTATAGCTGTAGCTACCTAGAATCATGTGTCCATTGAACCAGAACTTCTCAGCACTTAGTATGCACAGGCATGGTTTTATGCACTACAGATACAATGTTGAGCCAGAACAGTTACTGAGCTTGTGTCTTGGTGGAATTATTGGTGATAAATAAATAATATGTCATCTATGGTGATGCTATAGAGAGTGACAAGGGTGGTCTATTTTGAATAGGATTGTTAAGAAAGTTTTCTCTGAAGAAGAGATACTTGTGCTGAGACTTGAAAGGTGAGAATAAGTTAGTCATCCAAAAAAAAAGGGGAAGAACTTCAGGTAGAGGAGCAGGAAGAGTCAAAGTCTGAAGATGGTAACAGACCTGTCTTCTTCAACGGTCATAAGAAAACCATCATGACTGAGATAAGGGGTGTGGTTAATGCAGGTGTATTATAGCAAAGTCAAGACAGCACAAAGCTCTGCAGGCCAGAGAAAGGGATTTGGATAGGAAAGCTCTGCAGTATTCCATGTGAGTAAAGGCCATGTCCTGGGTTAGAGCCACAATAGTGGGGATGAAGATGAATGAATGGATTCAGAGTTCACTTCAAAGTAGAATGAACAGACCTGCTGAACCCTCACCTTGACCCAGTTCATCAGTAACCCATGTTTCATTCCAGCTCCTTTCATCCTGCATACCACACTCCAGCCACAATAGACATAGTTGTCATTTTTTAAACTCTCCTTCTTCCACCCACGTACAAACCACATCATGTTTCTAAGATAGAGATTATCATTCATAGATGGTTCTCAGGGCCATCCAATCTTTTTGACCATTGAAATATTATTTTCTCCCCAAAGGCCTCCAAAATCCTCCATTAGAATTTATCTCCTTTCCTATACTCCCTTTTTACTTTATATATAGCCATCATGACAATCTGCTTTAAGGTGGAAATATTAATACATAATTTTTGTCAGTCTTGGTAGTTAGATTCAACTGAGTGTCTCCCTTGGTACTGCTTTGGATGCAGTAAGCATTCAATATGTGACATATATATGTTGAATTTAAATAAATGAAATAAAAGCTAAAAAGTCTGGTTTTTCAGCTTGAAGAACTTAACTCCAGCTTTCCTAGAATAATGATATCCTGATGGTAACAATGATATGATGATGACAATGTTAATCATAATCATAATAATGATACTGGTTATAACTGTTATTCATTTAACACATATGCTGGACACTGTGTTAAGCTGTTTAAAGGTCTCATCCCCACAACAAACCTGTGACACAAGATTTATTATTATTTCCTTTTTCTCGATGAGGAAGCTGAGGTATAAAGAGGTTAAGTAAATTACCTAAAATCATACAGATAATAGGGCAGGACATGGAGTTAAACTCAGTGCCTTTACTCTCAGAAAACTTGCTCTGAGACAGATCATCATGATGGCTGTTTAAAATATCAGGTGTTGGGAGATAAAAATTGAGCCAGAAAACAAAGTAGGAGGCTCTTGCAAGAGCTCTGGCAAGAGATGGTAAGTTTGAATCAGTACAATTCCCACAATGGAGAAGAGAAGATGAACTTTAGACATATTTATGAGGTGGAATTGACAGTAGTTGATGACTAATTGGATGTAATGAGTGACAGAGAGGTAGATGAAGACCATGTCAAGGTTTCTGTTTAAGGCAGTTGGCTATTTGTTGATGGCATCAACAGACTTTGTGGAGGAAGAAAGACACTGCAGAAAAAAAAATAGTTGGACATATCATGATTTGATGTGTTGAGACTGAGATACCTGGGAGGCATCAGTTCTGGCATAACACTTGTAAAACCTTGAATGTGTTGCAATGATATTAATATATTAGGAGATAATTTGAGCATAACAAGAATTTTGCATTTGCTTATGTGTGATTTCATCCACAAAAAATACACTAGGTGAAGGCAGAAAACTGCACACCAGTGAATCAAACTACACAGGAATACCAAAACTTGCACACATGCCTACCTCAAACATCTACCCACTATCCCAGTTTGCAGCATTTGTTTGTTATGAGCCACACCCATCCATATCTGGTTTTACAACTTTCCAACTGATTTTACATAGCCCTCTTTCTACCACTTCAGGGTAACACAGAGTACAATGATTTCAAATCACATTTCTACAAGCAAACTTCAAGCCCTCTTTAAGGTAAAGTGCCATATTTGAGATAGTATTTGTGCATTTATTAACCATTTAATATGTGCAAAATTGTGACATTGCTTTTCTTAGGTTTCTGTCTTTTTCTCTGTGTCATTGTCTTAAGTGTATTCAGCTGCTGTAACAAAATACCATAAATCCGGTGGCTGGCTTATAAACAACAGAAACGTATTTCTCATAGTTCTAGAGGCTGGTAAGTTCAAGATCAAGGCATCAGCAGATTCAGAGTCAGGTGAGGATTCACTGCCTCATAGATAACCATCTTCTTATTTTTAACTCACATGGTGGAAGGGGCAAGAGACCTCTCTGGGGTTTCTTTTATAATCCCATGTATGAGAGCTCTAGCCTCATGATTCAGTCACTTCCCAAAAGCTTCACCTCAGAATACCACCACGTTAGGGGCTAGGATTTCAAGATAAAAATCTGGGGGAAGATACAAACATTCAGTCCACTAGAGTTACTGGCTGACTGTTCTTCTAACTCTGATTTTCCGCAAGTCCTACTGTTTTTGTTGCATGATTTTGCATAATGTTGGAATTCATAAGTCACATTATAGCAGAACTGACTGTGTTTGGTTGAAAATGGAAATATGGATCTCAGAAAAGGGATAAGATATAGATTTTGCAAGATTTAGCAGGTCAACGGTAGTCAAGGACATGGAAATGGATAAGAGATCTCTGAGAGAATTATGGAAAAATAAAAAGACTGAGGGCAAGACAGTGGGGAACACTAGCATTTACATGGACAAAGAGCCAGTAAAAGAAATTTAACGGGCGCGTGGCTCAACCTGTAGCCAGGCACGTTTGGGGAGGCCGAGACGGGGCGGATCACAAGTGTCGAGGAAGATCGAGACCATCCTGGCTAA